TAACATAATTAAGCCAGTATTTTGCAAATAATAAAAATATTCTTCAGTGAGTACTCAGTATTTGTGTATATGTTCCTGCTTGTTGCAATGGGCCAAGGTTGGAAAATCTTCTTTTTAGATATGAATGGTTTGCCTGCACTCCACCAAGTAGTCCAAAGAATCATTATTTGACTCCTCAACCGAGAACTCAGATTTGCAACCTAAAACGCTAGTTATGTTATCCTGCTTACATTTCCTGCTCCCGGTATAAAACTCTGGACACTACTGATCTAAGGTGTGTGCTTAGACTATGAAGGAAGGTCTCTGTGGTGCTCCCTCACCCCCATCACTAGATAGATGCATCTCTAACGTTTCCTGATAAGATGTGGCCAGTAAACAATATCCCTTAAGAAGTAATATTCCAAAACCAGATTGAGTTGACAGTGTCCTATGAGAAAATGATCACACAGGATTTCGCAGTATTCGGGTTTATTTTGAACTGGCGAAAGTACCCGGTTCGCTCAGATTATTAGATTGATTTATTCTAGATGACTATGTCAGTGTGTGTGTATTCTGAACCCATTTTAGCATAAAAGTATAACCTATATACTTTTGTTGCTAAGCAACATGACATAAACGCCATTGTTGGAATGCATTGTTACCAAAACACACTGGCTTTTCTATATATATTATAAGGTGTTATATAAGGAATCTCTTCTTTTCTTCGTTATTTTTCTCTAGCTTACCTCATTAAATAAATTCGCACGCGCATGCATGCACACACGTGGATAAGATAAGTAAGATCCAGGTGCACGCCCTCAGGGTCCACTTAGTATGGATGCAAATTTAAGGTTTCTAGGTTCTTTCCTCTTGGAGCTATGGTGGTCACATTTCTTTTCTATGTGGGTTTTCGCATAAAAAGATGCGCACGCGCATGCACGCATGCACGTAGATAAGCAATAATGCTCAGGTCCATTTAGTATGGGTACAAAGTTTCAGGTTTCTAGGTTCTTTCCTCTTGGAGCTATGGTGGTCACATACTTTAAAGGCAGTGCTAACCTATCTAGGATCAGTAGTTCACTCATCTTGAATAGGAACAATAGTGAGAATGGAATTAGATCAGTTCTCTCACGTATTCAAAATGGTGTGGAACATATAGCTTTATATTCTATTAATATGGTAATTGTACAATATGGTGTGAAACATATAACCATGTTCCTAATCATATGGTAGCCGCTGCTGAATGTGATTATGGCATGCTAAAGAAAGAAATGCTTACAGTTGTAAGGCTTGTTAAAAACTACTTCCACTGTTTATACGGACAAAATTCACTTTTAGTATGGACCATACGTCCTTAAAGTAGCCAGAGCTTTGAACACCAAGAATGTATAACTTTACACAGTAGAACAACGTGTAAGACTACAATTTCACTGCACTATATTATCTAGACCAGGAACGTGGATTTACATTTAGGTTTACTCACTATTGTGTAACATCAGTTGTATTTCTAGAACGCCCTAATCCAGTGCATAACGCTTTTGTGAAAGACAAAGTTACTAGAGTGATTTCTACTTGTTCTGATATAAAAATACGAATAATATATACCAATTGAGAACAACAAATGGATGAGCAAATGAAATACCCAGATTTAACTTAACCACGTCTTGTTGTACAACAAGTTGAAGCATGAGCTTCACAGTATAATGATTGTAGCGCAGAAGCATGTTATATTTGGCAGTTCTATGAAGGAGTAGAACTACAAGATAGAGTGCTATACTGCTACTGTAACTTTTGGAAGCGCAGAGCATGTCTGTGAAGCAAGTAATGGTCCAGGGGTATTTGAAGCAGAAGATTCTCTAAACCTTACATGATGTGTGTGTTTCACGTTACAATTAATATGTTGATCACATTCCCATACGAATGTGGAGAAATTATGTACACACTGCTTGGGATGCTCCTCTAAAGAAAATCTTGTTACGCCGTAGGAAACTGCAACAGAGAGTTGTAGGAGTTCTATTGTAGCAGATAACCCTGACTCTTGCTAACCCCTCCCAGAGAAAGAGGATGATAATTTATAAGAGCTGGTTATAACTGATTATTTGACTACCAAGGTGAAAAACTTAAACATTTCCTTACATTTTAGCGCAGTCTGTAGTTCATTCATTACCTGAGAAACTGATATCTCAATTTGGAATGCCTTAGGAGATACACTTTAACAATCTGTTCTTTGCTGAATCACGCTGAGTATTAGGTATAGTGAAGAAATACACTTCAGCATATCATTACCTGTCTGTTGGTCTGGATAAATAAGCCACTGTCAAGCATATGCTTACAAATTTTGTGAGCTTGTCCTGTCTGAATAGGAAAATAAACGTAAGAGCTTATGGGATTATAACCTGTCACATGTCATTACGGCGAACAAGCAACATTAACGCACTCTACTGGTTATTTCTCAAACAGTTAGTCAGAAAAGTTGCGCTTCCTGTTGATATATTGTGCGATTCACCTTCTAGTACAGATGTCCCACAATCCGTATAAGAACGTTTTGGGTAGTTATTAGCTATGTTAATGGACACACATACACACACATGAATATGTATGACACCAAATGAGCAAACTGGTCATAAAATACGAGTAACGTTATGATAAGACAGTGAATCAGATACAGTTTATTGTGGGGGTGGCCCTGGCTATGTGATTTACTGGAAATGCTTCATTTTTTTTTTTGTCTAAATGGATCGGACCATATATAATCATTAGATAACACAATCCATCAAATCAGGAACTTTGGAAGTCACGTGAGCCTTTAGAGCACTAGTTGGACCAAGACTCTGGAGTTGAACAGATATTAGAGCACTGCCACTCATAACCTCGTCCCAGTTAAAGTAGAATGAAAATCACAAATATTTTTCTGACAGTTTAGAGTAAGCTAGAGGACGAAGAACTAATACACCTGTGCAATTATACGGTTTGGAAGAATGGTTGTAATGACATCATCAATATTCTACATGTTGTGGTTGGGAATACATAAATCTTTAACAGCAGCTGTGACAATGGGTGATAATTATTATAATTGCTTGACTATAAGTAACTAGAGCAATGATAACGTATTATCACTAAAATAGTTTGGCCCATTTGTTGTCCAAATATTTAAGTAGAATTATACGGTTATAATCAGTTATTTTGAAAAGATAGGATATTCTAAAACTTTACATTCAAAAGAGGTTCTAGAATCTGGAGCTCTACGTTCCCATATTTATGGACATTGACCAAACGTTTCTTCCACTTGTGGTAGAAGATTTAACAACACCGAATTGCATTAAAACAAAATGAAAGAGGGTGGGCTGCTTGATTAATCACCCTCTGACAAGGAAGGGATGCTTAAGTTTACTGCTTCCCCTAAGCATAACGAGCTGGTATCTAAATGATCAATGACTTCAACATTCAGTAGTTGGTCACCACAATAGTAGCAGCAAAATAAGAAAGGTTACAAGTATCAACAATGTTCAACTGTGGGATGTAACTTCAAACAACATCATATCAAAGTCTTACTGCACTTCCAGAGGGAATACTGCTGCAATAGACAAACAGCCGAGGTTAGAGAGAAGAAGGAAAGTAAAGACACTCTTATAATTCTTGACAATCCCTAAGAGACTAGATATAGAGCGTAGTGTTGAAATTATGCTAAGCTCAGTACTAATGTCTGACGACAAGTATAATATTATTTTACTTTCCATGGTTTGAATATCTGTTGCTTGGGAGATTATTGTGTTTTATTAATTCTATTACGTTCCTGTAATGTATTGTGTTATTGCTATGTACATAGTTGTTTAAGTTTGAACTGTTTAGTTCATATTTAATATTAACTACCAATTGTATCCTTCACTAAAGTTTTCACATCTAAAGTCCATCACATTTAAAAATTAAGTTTTGTTTATTATGTTTATTTGCGTTCTAACTAATTTTTTAGTTTATTCCATTTTCAAATGATCATCTGAATTTTATCATCCGCCGTTGTATTAAGTTTTCATAATAAATGTTATTTTCTTACATTGAATTTAAAAGTTAAAGCACATTATCTTATCTTACATTTTGATATGTCTGTGTGTTATAGGTGATGACATGTGATATGTGTCCAGTAAAATGTAATGCAACGTTTTCTATATTGGTTTTATGGGCCATTCCAATATTGTGTTATTTGATATTGGACACGCCTATTTATCTTAGTGGGTGGTTTTTATCAGGCTAATTTAGTGTTGCAAAATTACTGAGTCTGGTTAGCCATTACATGTTTGTGTCGTCGGGTCACTTCTCGGACTGAGGCATCATTATATCAGTTAGGCGTGTGTCGTTTAGTCAATTCTTACTTATCGTCACATAAACCTTTGAATCCAGTTTTGCCATAAACCCTTAGATATTGCAGTTATTTGCAGGTTAATAACCGCTAATTCGTTGTTGATTATTATAAACTGCCCTATTTGCTCTTAACGTTTAAACTGAAATCGACCGAGAACTGGCCTTTAAATATGTTACCCAATGGAAACCAACTAAAATTGTTGAAGATGAAACATATCGTATATTCTTTTTTTTATGTTTGATAAGCAGTTTAGAAAACTCGTTTCTTAACCTGTGAGGGCTTTTAAGTATTGGAAACTTGGACTAGAAAAATAATCTATATTTAAAGCTAACCGTAAATATGATAAATCAGTTAAGCGATTTTAATGATAATAGGTTTTATTACTATATTCACTCTGTATAAGAAACATGATTCTAAATAAAGTGTATGTGCGTAAACTGTTTAATTAATAAAACATAGGAATCGTGCTCTTTATAACCGTGTTTCAGCTACACTAAACACCCAACTTAACCTATTTGAAGTGGGATTTTTCTTGGATGTACGAGGCTTCATAGCTTTGTTAACAGTATCGGTCAAGTATTTATTAGCAAATCTTCTATTAAACTTGTATTTTTATCAGAAATGTAGTGACGATTCGATTAATTTCTTTTTGTTTCATTTACAGATCAACATTCTCTGTTTGAAAACCCACGAAAAGCTCATATTATTTTTCAGGACTACACACTCACAAAGAGGCGTCGGAGAGGTATCAGAAAAAGGGGCATTATGGAAGAATGTTGTTACACCACCAGGGGCTGCTCTTGGGAGGAGTATGCCGAGTACTGTCCAATAAATCGGCGTATAAAACATTAAAGATGGAGATAATCAGCAGAAACTCTCGACTAACATAAAAATGGAAATTGTACCATTCATGGGTTTCCAAATATTTCACGAAATGTTAATTTGTTAGATTAGTTTTGTTTTTCATTAATATTCTCATGGTACAAAAGCTTTAACTTCCTCTTAAGAAATAAAAAGTTAGCCCGAGAGTTACTAACTTTACTGCCTACAAAACTAAGTATTTCTTTTTTTTAGTTTGCTGGCTGGAATGTATACGATCAATAAATGATGGAAACCAAGGCCTCGTTTGTAGAAAAGTTTTATTCATTTTTAAGCGAAACTTAAAAACATGTATTTTTTTCAATACAAAACTTGATTGGTGAATATATTAAAACCATGGCTACTGCATTTTTGACTGCTACTTTAACGATTTGGATCAGTGGCATGTTCAGGTATAATAATAAAACCAACACTGTTTAAGCATCTTCTTTCTCACTGTAAAATCACAGCAACAACAACAAACAAAATATGTGCATTGTACAGTATTTGTGGCATGCTCAAGTATAATAATAAAGTTTAAGTATCTTCTTTCTCATTATAAAAATACAATAACGCAACAAAAGTGTGTGCACTGTATTGGATCAGTGGCATGTTCAGGTATAATAATAAAACCAACACTGTTTAAGCATCTTCTTTCTCACTGTAAAATCACAGCAACAACAACAAACAAAATA